CAGACACATAATTCAGACAAGGAATTCTGTCCCAACAGATGATACTCCCCACTCCTTCCTTGTTTACATCACATTTTAAAGTCAGACTCTCGTTTCTTGTTGCTGAGTTTTTCTGAAGCTATCTTTCGGTTTGCTTAGAGAATTTGGTTTTACATTAAACTCTAAAAGCATCAAGATTTGGTTTGAACCTGATCTCCAGTGGTAGAAAACCAAGTCCTTTTATAATGAATACTCTACTCAGCAGAGTTTCAGCCACGGCATTCTTGCACAACGCAGCTACAGCTGACAGTTGCCATTCACTCAGTATTCTCTGAAATAGCTAAATCTTAACCTACTGACAGCTTTAAAGAATTGAACCTGGACTTCAGAATGGATTTAGAATTGGATAGGGAGCCAAGTGCACTCCATGAAGAACTGCCACAGTGTGATCTCATTGGTCAATCCCACTTGGGAAGCAGGCTCCCATAAATTGAACTAACTGGAGCTTATATATGGTCTTTCTAATCAAGCCCAGATATTATTTATTATTTTTATTGCAGTAGCTCCCGAAGACCCTAATCAGGATTAGGGCCCTATTGTGCTAGGTGCTGTACAAACAAATGGAAGATGCAATCCGTGCCCTGATGAGTTTACAATATAAAAAGGCAAGATAGACAAGCATATAAACAAAATGCCAAAGGTATAAATCTTGTGAATTACTTAAAAAAATTGTTTTCCCCTGACCCACCTCTGCCTCCCTTGTCCCCTGACTTTGGGGCCCAACCAATCTGCATCACTAGTGTTGAATTGATATGCCTTCTTGCTCACCCCACAAAAACTGATTCAGGAATGAAAAAACATAGGCATTGCAATAATACAACTTGGAGACAATGAAAAGAAGGATGAATGTGGGTTAAGTCTGTATCTGAAAATAAAGGGTAATTTGCTGATGAGCCAAAGATGGGAAAAGAGGTTTCTGGCCACTACTACTATCAGTGTGTCTAGGAGCAGCAGTGTCTAATGCATTACAACTCCTAAATTGTGCACCACATTGACAACATGGAGGCAGATACTCTCAAAGGGTGAGAAGCTAGTTCCTTCCAATTATTCAAAGTGCTTTCTCCGTCCCACCAATCTCAGGTCCCTCTTGAACGTATTGAGGTTTAAAGCAGGCAGTTTGAAATTGACACTGTTTGGAGAGAAGCAGCTCTTTTCAGAAATATGCCATGGTACTTTTCCTCCCACTAAAGAGCACTCCCTAAGACCTGGTATAGGAAATTAAAGCCTCTCCTGCTGAGTCACTCTGGATTCGGGTGCTTGAACCTACGTTATGATTTAGGATAATTACTGCTGAGTTATGGTGGCAGGTGCGTCCAATTAGCTCCAAGCAGGATATATGAGACTGGGAGACAATCTATGTGTGTAAAGGGAATTGAGAACAGAAGAGACCCCAGAGAGAAATCCTAGATGCAGTTAGGGCAGATGATTTATGTTTTATTGTTTTTTAATTGTCCATAAAGCCAAACCCTAGGGAGAGGTTGAGGATGAACTAACTCATGGTCTGTGGACTCTGCTGAGGATAGGGTCAGGATGAAGACCATTCATAAGCAACCAATTTAATATTTTCTCCTCAAGATAGATTGTCATGGAAAATTTCAAGGAAGACCTTCAGTTTAATTTGTGTGTGTGTGTGTTTTTTTAAAAGCTTAAATAGCATAATTGTGAACATGAACAGGAAATGGTGGTTATAATGAGACAAGGTAGGTGAATGCAATGATATAGTTCACATACAAGTGTCATGCTTTTGGGAGGAATAAATTGTCATGGTAAATGCCTATGGCAGCCAAAAAATTAGTTTATGTTCACACCTTCTGAACTGCATTCCACCACTTAAGACAATTTTTTATGTCTTATTTTTAAATTTATTCAATTTAAAAAAACAACTGTCCTGCTCCCACAAGTGCCATATTAAAAATATGAGTTTTGAAGGTTTTCTTTACTTTATATACATTGCCACCGTTGTTCAGTGTTTGTTATTGAGGACAGAATCGCGTTGCCTGCATCCTATGATTTGCATTGAAAATTTTAAGGGGGATCCAAATTATTTACAAGTACAGTAACATTTACTAAACTAATGTTAAAGATGGATTTAATTACAGAAGTATTTAAAAACAAGGTAACATGAAACATACAAAGAACACAGAATAGAGAAAACACAAAGATTACCCTAATAACTAATCTCAGGAGCGAGAAGGTATCTCTTAATATTCCATATGTAAGGTCCTGCCTAAAATCTTGAAATACCTTTAACAGTCAGGGTAGCAATCTGGTTTAAAAGCATGTAGTCATTAATTTTTTTGCTAGCAAAAAGAAAGAAGATAAACCTCAAATATGCAAGATAAAGATTCCATAAATCCAGCAATTACAGCAATATACACACACACGCCCAGTAAGGAATGAAGAAGGCCAAGGAGAAACGACTGATTAATGGCAAGATGAAGGGAAGGTTCCAGTGATGCAAGCTGAACACAGTGTTGCAGCTCAGGAAATTAATTAAGTTACAATTACTCCTAAGAATTAGGGCCCTGCATGTTCTAGGAGCAAAGAATTTGCTGCAGAATATACCCCTGGCTGCCGAATTGCGTTTGAAAATCTCAGGCCTGGTCCACACTTAAAAATTAGATTGACCTAGATCTATCGCTCAGGGCTGTAAAAAATTTCACACCCTGAGCACTGTAGTTAGGTCAACCTAACCCCCAGTATAGGTATGGCTAGGTTGACAGAAGAATTCTTCCATCGACCTAGCTACCACCTCTCAGGGAGGTGGATTAACTGTACTGATGGAAAAACCCCTTCTGTAGATGTAAGAAGCCTCTACACCAGTGGTTCTCAAACTAGGGCCGCCACTTGTTCCGGGAAAGACCCTGGCAGGACGGGCCAGTTTGTTTACCTGCCACATCCGCAGGTTTGGCCGATCGTGGCTCCCGCTGACTGCGGTTCGCCGCTCCAGGCCAATGGGGGCTGCAGGAAGTGCCGCGTGCCGAGGGATGTGCTGGCCGCCCTTCCTGCAGCCCCCATTGGCCTAGAGCAGTGAACCGCGGCCAGTGGGAGCCGCGATCGGCCAAACCTGTGGACACGGCAGGTAAACAAACCATCCCGTCCCACCAGGAGCTTTCCCAGAACAAATGGTGGCCCTAGTTTGAGAACCACTGCTCTACACTATGGTGCTATAGTGGCATAAGTTGCAGCGCTGTAGCTATGCTGCTGCTGCAGCTGTAGTGTAGATGTGGCCTATGCTTTAATTTTTAATTACGTTTATAACTTTTATGGTTATGAAGAAAACCTTTCAACATTGCCTTCCTGACAGCATGAAACAGGAATTCTGAGACATGTGAACTGCCACATTCATCTCAATGAGATGTTAATTTTGAAGCCTGATAAGTTTAAATGTCAACACTGAATGAGATTTTCAAAGGGGCCTAAAGTAATTACGGGTCCTATTACCATTAAACTTCAATGGGAATTGAGTGTCTAACTCCCTTAGGCCTCATTGAAAAATCCCAGGCACTGTTAACTATTTCACTGCTGATCACTTTAGCAGAAATATCCAATTAATATATTTATCCCACAATCCCAAACTGCTTCTCACTGATCTGTAGATACCAAACCCTCCAGCTTCCTTTCCCTCAACTTCTACAATACAGTTACCTTTCCTGAATTAAAAAATCTGTGTCATACCAAAACCTGAAAGTGTCGATACTGCATACATTCATTTTATTTATTATCAAAACAAACAAACCCCAGTGGTTACTCAACTGACTGCATTATTCATATTTACCTCAATGAAAACCTCCATTTTGAATTTAAATGAAGCGGTTGCAGAATTTCCAGTTTGTCACACCAGAGAATGCAGATGTCAGGGAGCTTCCTATAGAATTTAAGTTCCCCTTGCCATGTAGTACTGGAGTCTTGGCCATCCTCACTCAGAAAGCCACTTACATAGGAAAAAATGTATTTACATGTAAGATGGACTTGAATTTTGAAAGAGTGAGGGACAGTCGAATTCCAGAGAAACAATTATTTTTCTGAGTGAGAAACAATGAGACCCAGCAATTAAAGTGGTGGTGTAGTAGAATGGTTCCCAAACTGTGCTCCATGGAACATTTGCTGGTTGCCCGCAGAGAGCTAGATGACCACATGGTGCTAATTCTTATATTGCTTGTACAGGTGTCCATGGACACCACAGAAAAGGAAAGCTTGGAAATAAGGGGTTGAATCCAGCCATATGCTAGCCACAAGCAGAATAAAAATGTCCACAAGCAGGGAGGAAAGAATGAAGCAGATTGGTAGTAGGTTTCTCTTCTCCCCGATCAGCTGGATTAAGTCATAAGGAAAGCATTGGTGGGGGAGGGGAGTGAGGAAAGGGTGAGACAAGGCAAGAAAGTAGCATGTGCATAGGAGCAGAAATGAGAGATTAAATAAAAAGCAAAAGTAGACAATGTGATAACTTGAAAAAATTACTTATTGTATAATTGAAAATATAGGAGTAACTATTCCTTTACTTTGTGTAGTTTTTCAGTTGCAAAGCCTACATTGATGGAGTGATTACATTTTAAGATAACATCTTTAAAGAAAATGTCACTGGTTTGGGAAAAGTATGCTAGCATGATAAATCTAAAAAGTCAACAAATATTGCAGCAACATTTGTATAATAATTACAGAAATATTACAATCTCAACTTACACATACACAGCTGTAATAAAATTCTGTCCAAACAAATATTTTCTCTGTGTTACTTATACATGTTAACATTTTGCCCTGTTACATGTTCAGCTTTTCTATTAAATACAGATATTAATATTACAGATGAAAAGTTGTTCCTCCCTCTATTACAATTTGCTTCAACCCCATAATAATTAAACATTTTTTCTGAAAGTAAGATTGAAGCAATCCTGTACAAATCCTTGATTATCAATATGACAGGCAAAGAAAGAAAGCATTCAACAAGTGACTTTCCTTACCTTCAACACAGCGATGAATGGTACAAAGTTAACTCTCTGAAGCCCATTTTTATAGAGGTCTGAAAGAGAAAACTGGTACTAGTTTTGCTACTTAGCTTTGCCCCTTAATAATAATGCCAGCTTGTCTTTTAATCTGGCAAATAAAGCAGTATGCCGTTGGAGGGATAAAAGAATGAAAGGGAATTGAAATTGATTTCTATTCTTTTGCTGCATGAAATTCATTACATTCTTAATAGGGAAAAAAAAAGGCAGAACAGCCCAAGAAAATCTCAAAAGGGATTCAGTGAAATTGGATTTAAATCTCTAATGAGAATGAAGTGATTTTCGCAGAAGAGATACAAAACCTTTGTATTAAAATAAGCTCATAAAAGAATTGGAAACGTTATGTATCAATCAGTATAACTATAAGGCCAAAATATCCAAAGGCTTAATCTTAAGGATTTTTTTCTTTTTTGTAAAAAGTTTTGAACTATGAAGAAATAATGTCAATTGCCAGAGTTGGTAATGTCTTTATTCTGTTGATTAAGGTTACTCCCTTGGTCTTCTAATAATTCCCATCACATATACCATTTTTTTCAAGGCAAGAAAATACAATTTGATTTGTAGGCAAACAATAAAATATTACAAATAAATACATAACCTTTGAAAAAAGGTTTAATTTATTAAAATATTTTATAATTAAATGCATATTTGACATTTATGAAAGAAAATGTACATTAATAAATATAACTGGTAAAACAGAATTTTATATCTATAGTAAAAAGTTCTCTTTTCTGGTAACTATGTAACTGTAGGGACAGGATGAATAGTTCCATTACAGCTTTATCATCATACCATAGTTATGATGTGCTACTTCACTTCATTAATACAAGTCTCCATCTGACTGCAAGGTCGTAACACTTGATTACAGGGCAGGTCAACAGAAGAATGTAGACACTCTGCCCACCTAAATTCCCCTGCCTCTGACACAGACCATATCAGATTATTATTATGTAAGGATTAGATTTTTATCACTAAGTGTTGGTATATGTTGATTTCACCATACACACAGGCAAACCACCAAAAAATTAAATCTATAAACATTTAACTGTATAGATCGGCAAAGTAAGAAAAATGCTGCTTGAGAACATATTAGGGTTTCATTTAAGGATATTTACATTGTATATTTTTACATGCGATGTCGACAATTTGTGTTTTAATGGTTATAAAGCCTTAACATTTATGCATTACTACTGTCATTAAATAATTATTGTCTGATCCCCTCCCCATTGTCAAACTATCCCATAATTTCCTGCAACTGTGAAAATTTAATTTAATAAAAATTGAAAAAATGCTTAAACATAAACACCAATATTATCAGTTGAAATGATTAAAAAACCATCAAAACACAAAAACTGAATTCTGCCACGCCTATATAAAACATTTTGAGTGCAGTAATGCCTGAGAGCCATAATTAGGCTGGGTCTCATTGTACTAGGTGCTGTATGAACATAATGGTGGAGGGAGGATGCACTATGCGTGACAAATCAGGAGAGTACTGACAAAGTGATTCACAGGATAGTGAAGACAATGCTTATAGGAAATCTGGATACTAGTGAATCAGATTCTGAAACCTAATTACTCACAAAGTTGTACACAGTCGTGTACCACTTTTCACACAGTTCTCTAACATTTATGGCAAAACACAATTTTTAAAAGTAAGCAATACATTTAAATGAATGCAAGTTTACAGGTAGAAACAGTGATCATTAAAAATTATTTTTTTGCCTGGAAATATTTTTAACATGCTGTAATATAAATAATAAAGTTGACGGAGGAGTGAAGCTGGGATTCCAGAAATCACACCTTGACATTTCACTCTCATGTTCCAGTGGGAAAGCAGTAAACGTAACATTACTAAGTGTGGCACTAGAGTCTTGGCCAGTGTTTTCTCTAACCAGACTGCTATCTTGCCTCTTTGTATCCAGAAAGAGAGGGGAAAAAGTCCTGAGTTTGGATACTAGGGTTGCCAACTTTCTAATTGCAGAAAGCCGAACACCCTTGCCCCTGCCCCTTCCCTGAGGCCCCACTCCTTCTCCGAGGCCACGCCCCCTGCTCACTACACCCCCCCCCCCGCTCACTCCACACCCGCCCCCCCCATCGCTCGTCTCTCTTGGTCACTTGCTCATTTTCACCGGGCTGGGGAAGGGAGTTGGAGTGTGGGAGGGGGTGAGAGCTTGAGCTCTGGGGTGGGGCCAGGGATGAGGGGTTTAGGATGCAGCGGGGGAGCTCTGGGCTTGGGGGTGGGGCCGAGGGATTCGGAGTGTGGGAGGGGGCTCCAGGCTGGGGGAGAGGGTTGCTGAGTGGGAAGGGGTGAGCGCTCTGGCTGGGGGTCTTGGGTTGGGCCGGGGATGAGGGGTTTGGAGTGTGGGTGGAAGCTCTGGGCTGGGGCAAGGGTTCAGAGTGTGGGAGGGGTTGAGGGCTCCGGCTGGAAGGTTGGCTCCCAGGAAGCGGCCGGCACATCCCTCTGGCTCCTAGGCAGAAGGGCAGCCAGGGTGCTCCGCATGCTGCCCCTGCCTATAAGCACTGCTCCCGCAGCTCCCATTGGCCATGGCTCCCGGCCAATGGGAGCTGCAAAGCCGGCACTCAGGGTGGCACTTGTGGGTGGGGGCAGCACATAGAGCCCCCCCTGACTGCCCCTCCACCTAGGAGCTGGAGGGACATGCCGGCTGCTTCCCAGGAGCTGCACAGAGCTGGGCATGGAGCCTGCCAGCCCCACTTTGACCAACCGGACTTTTAGCAGCCCGGTCAGGTGTGCTGACCGCAGCTGCCAGGACCCTTTTCGACTGGGTGTTCTGGTTGAAAACCAGACACCTGGCACCCCTTTTGGATACCTTAATAAGAACAAATATAGTGTATTAACCCAATGCCCTTTACTGGGGAGAATTTCATTTCAGACACTCATCTTTAGATACTGGAATATATTCTGTGTGCACAGACGGAGGAGGATGGGGTGGCTGCCCGAACCCATGGCACCACAATGCTATGGACATTCCCCCTGACATCCCCTCTGGGCCAGCCCTACGCAGCTCCTGCACTAGGGGCAAAGGTGCCATGTGGTGGGGACACAGGGTCACATGCCCCCCACCCTTCCCGATTTCTCAGACGCCTCTCGCCAGGCTGCCCAGCAGCACAGGAGGGTGAGGAAACAGCAGGGCGGCTGACTGAGCTTCCCACACACACACACAACATGGAGCTGCTTCTCCTTCCCTGCTGCTGGAGTCCCAGTGTTTCTCACTGCCTCTTTGCAGACCGCCCGCTGAGGTGAGTCGGGGGCATCTTTGAGATCGGGAAGAGGAGCTGCGATGTGGTGCTCAGCGCCAGACAGCTCAGGTGGAGCCCAATCCAGTCCGAAAGCCCCAGAGGTGAGGGGAGCAGGCTGGGGGGGAGGGGACCCTGTTGCTGCTGCTTCAATGCACCCCCAGCAGCAGGGGGCATTGAAACTGCAGCAGCATCCAATGCGCCTCTCAAGGAGAAGGTGATTTGGGGGCATCATATTTCCCCCTCCAATAAAACGTGATTGGTAAGTCTCCAACTTCTTGTTAATTGCCCCAAGCACCATCCCACCCTGGCACCACCCATCCTGATGGCACATGGGGAACCGAGCATCCCGACAGTGTTGCCACTTTTGTTGGTCTTGTTTTGAACACTTGCTAAATTGATTGAAGCTAACTCAGGCAGGGAGGGATGCCTGCAAGCTCTGCAAGGGTCTGGGCAGCCACAGGGACAGACAGCAGGAGGAGGAAGAGGCAGTTGCCAGTGTATGTTGTCTACATACATATCAAGTTTCAGGGGACGGAGGCAGAGGCAATATGTGGGGCAGTCACGTGCCCCCACAGAACCTTTCAACTGTCGCCCCCCCCCCCCCCCACTATCCACAGTTACTTGTTGCCTCTGGCAAGGTGAATTCTCCCTCGGGCTATTGCAGTCCCTTTATGGTCCCTTTACACCACGGGAGCAACATACACTATCGGGGCAGGCACCAGAATCTAGCCAATTGTTCACAGACTAATATTTTGAAGTAAACAGGTAGGTCCAAGCCCAAACTCATGATCTACAAGCAGAACTTTGGGGTGTTTGAAGTTATCCTTTTTACAGATCGCTCCCAACCACACTATGCACCCATCCAATTTGCCTTTTTCTCTTTCACTTAGTTGTGTTAATTATATCTTGACTTAATTACAATTGCTCAAAGAAGGATAAAAGTACAATAATAACTGAAGGTTGAAAGACATAACATTTCCTCCTCACTATGACTATTAAAATGGAAGAAAAAATCTGTATTTTAAAGCTTAAGTGATTCTGTTCTAAACAAAGAAAATCAGTGTAACTTGAAAGCCTTTGGTTCTTGCATGAAACTTCATATAAATAAAAAAACAAACAAATATTATACTAATTAATACCATTGCATTAATTGTCTCTTAGAAGTGTTATTTGGCTACCAAAAAATTATAAGATTAATTTATTGAGCCCTCTTTGGCTAAAGCCTTGCATAGTTAAGGGCTCTATGAAATGTTCATATCAAGCCTTCCTTTTATTTATTAAATAGCATTGTGAAGAATTATTTAAAGAGTTCTCTAAACCAATATATCGCAAGAGTTTGTGTGTGATGTCAAAGCAGTTGGGGACAGAGCCTCTTGGTGGATCGCATCGAGCTAGCACAAGTGTAGCCACGGTAGCAGCACCGGAGGTGTGGCTGAGCCGTATCAAGTATTTACATACCAGTTTCAGGCAGGTTTGTATTTGGCACAGTTCAGCCATGCTTCCGCTGCGGATGGCTACCCGTGCTACCGCAGCTTCCTTATTTATACATGTGCTAGCACAATGAGAGCTAGTGTGAGTATGTGTTCACAAGAAGGGGAAATCACAGAGGGCTTGTCTATACCACTGATTAAGTAGATGTAACTTACGTCACTTACTCAGGGGTGTGGAAAAGTCATCTCTGTGAGCGACATAAATTACACTGACTTAAAGCAGTGTCTACATCATGTTATGTCAGCAGGAGACGTTCTCCTGTTGACGTAGCTGCAGCGGCACCAATGTAGCACGGTAGTGAAGACAAGCCCGTAGCCTAAGAATGGGGTGGGAAGAAACAGGGAGGAGTGATAGCTCAGTGGTTTGAGCGTTAGCCTGCTAAACCCAGGGTTGTGAGTTCAATCCTTGAGGGGGCCACTTAGGGATCTAGGGCAAAATCAGTACTTGGCCCTGCTAGTGAAGGCAGGGGGCTGGACTCGATGACCTTTCAAGGTCCCTTCCAGTTCTAGGAGATAGGATAGAATATCTCCATTCCCTCTCCCTTCTGCTGGCCAGGCTCTGCCTGTGTCCTTGAGCCCACCCAATCCTGAGGCAGTTTATCAGTTTTTCTCTCCACTATAGAGATAGGAAGGGTTAGAAACATCACTAAAGAAGCTGTAGAAGTAGAGAAAAAAATTATTTTGGGAGTGGGGGCGGGGAGAAGAAGAGAGGGTAGGACCCAGGATGGACCCTTACTTCCATACATAAGAGAAAACTAGGAAGGATCTGCATGGCATGGAAAGAATACCACAGATTTTTAAAACTAGAGATTTTATCACCATTAAATTTGAATAAATGTAAAATGCTTTTATAAGAAATGTGTTCATTTCACTGTGCTTGTATCATATTGGTAGCATGTTTGTTTTTACCTTCAGGTGGCCTATTAGATGTTGCCACAACGACAACCCCGTTTTGGAACAGATTTTCAAAAAGCTGTTTCAGAATCATGGCATCAGCAATGTCAGTGACCTGTGAAAGACAACACAATTGTTTTTCTTGCTTTCAACTTCTGCCATAATAGATCTGCAAATGGTTTCATAGTCAGAAAAGAAAAAAAAAGGCTTGTTAGTAAAATCCTGGAGAAAGATTCTAATGATTGCTTGTGGGGGAGGGGGAAATAAAGGAGATAATTAATAAGCAGGGAACGCATGGCAATCTTTTAAAACTTGCCTGCTCTTTATTACAGAACCCCATCATTTCTTTACCAATTGCTAAATGATTCCATGTTAACTTCTATTATAAAACTACAGGTGGGAGACACAGAAAACAGACCTACACATTTCAAAGAGGCCTAATTAATTAGAACCAACATGAAAAACAGAAGATAAAGAAGGAAAATACATACCAGCTGTTTTACATTTCTATTACCTTTCTAGTAAAGGTTGGTAGAGGTGACTTTAAATGGTCATGGGACTTCAGAAATAAGGACAAGTAGCCAACTATACATAATCAGCTGCTGTAGAAAATAGAATGATATGACATAGATACTATTGTGTGATTGTTGTACAAAACAATTCAACAGATGGCCCATCACAAAAATAAGCAATTTCATTGTTCTTTTTAAGTGCCTTCTATTACTGTCCATGAATAATCAAAAGGCACTGCAGTCACTTCCAGCATAGTCAGCCTCTTCTAACCTTCAGACAAAACATTCACTTAAAAAACATGAAAAAAATTGGGTGCTACAATTAATACCGAAAAAAATTAACAACAAGCAACAAAGTGAAAATTCTTAGACAAACTATTTTCTAAGGCTAGTTTTAACTAACTTTATGGTATCTAGAAACTGATACTATAGACTTGCAGCATACATAATGTTGCGTCAGAATGGAGAAAAATAAACTTTTCTGAACAGAAGAAAAATTTGATATGACAGTATACTATAGGGGTTACAGAATCTCACGGGCTAATAAAAAAAAATCAATGTACCCAATAACGAAACCATCTTAACTACTGTTATCTATGTTTCCCTCGCACTTTCCCTCCTATTGTTCATTACATCAACTTTGTCTTAATTTAGGCCCTGATCCCACAAGGGGGTTTCTGCCTATCTGGATTGTAGGTCTGGAGCTGCGGGCTGCAATCCTGCAATAGATAACACGCAGGTGGCCTGCTATACCCACATAAAGCCATGCTTTTCACAGGCCAAACAGTCCATCTATGTGTTATCAGTTAAAGGATTGGAGCCTTAGACCTAGGGTATGTCTACACTTAAATGCTCCTGTTGGCACAAGTAATCCATCTTCCTGAGAGGCGGCAGCTAGAGACATGTCTTCACGTAAAATGCAGAGCTGTACCGCTACAGCGGTACTGGTGTAGCACTTCAGTGAAGACGCTACCTACATTGACAGGAGGGTTTCCCCTGTTGGCATAGGTAATCCACCTCCCTGAGAGGCAGTAGCTAGGTCGACAGGAGAATTCTACCATTGACCTAGTGCTCTCTATACCAGGGCTTAGGTCAGTATAGCCACATCTCTCAGAGGTGTTGATTTTTAAATTCCTAGTGCAGACCAGGCCTTAGTCTACATTAGAAAATGTTTGCCAGTATAGCCTCCTAGTGTCGACGTACCTTATACCGGCAAGAGTGCTTTTGCTGATATAGCTCATGCCGTTCCCCAAACAAAAGCACTTCTTTGCCAATATAACTGTGCCTACAATAGGGTTTTTGTTGATATAAAACAGCATACAAAAAAAATCCACCCTTAACCAACATTACTATACTGGCAAAAGTTTTATGTGTATATCTGGCCTTAAACTTTTGGGGGTTTGTGGGTTAAGTAGTTGAAGCCACTGCAGCCTCCACTTAATCCACCAATTTGTGGTGAAGCAAGGCAAAAAGGGGGAAAGGAGGAAAGAGTCAGCCTTTGTCTACACTAGCACTTTTGTCAGCAAAACTTTTGTTGGTCACGGGTGTGAAAAAAACCACACCGCGACCAACAGAAGTTTTACTGACAAAAGTGCCGGTGTGGACCGCGCTATGTCGGTGGGAGATGCTCTCACGCTGACATAGCTACTGCCATTCGTTGGGGGTGATTTAACTATACTGGCAAGAGAGCGCTCTCCCGCCAGGATAGAACAGCTACACAGAAGACCTTACAATGGCGCAGCTGCAGCGGTACAGCTGTGCCACTGTAAGGTCCATAGTGTAGATATAGCCTTAGACTCTGCTCCTGACCGCTAGTTTGGAGACACTGGGGGAAAGCTTTAATAGAAGCAGTTTTCTCCTTCCCTGTGATCCATCCTTCCGCAAGAACTAGGTGAATGGTTGTCGGAGGACTAATATTTAGGGGCGGGGTTTATTACATTTTCTTTTCTTCCTCAACAATAAGTTCAGTAACACACTCCATGGAGTGCATGTATCATCCAGCAACCCTCTGGTGTGTTCAGGACAGTTATTGTACTTCTATCAAGGTTTGCATGGTTGAGGAACACACAACCTGTTGAGTGTAGCTGCTGTAGCTGTAGTCAGCTACTGATGTTTTCCTGAAGGCTCTTCTGAATTATTAAAACTTCAGAAACTTCCAAAGTTGTCTTCAAAACTCAAGACATGTAAAGGAAAGTGGTGCATACATTATTTAATTTGAAAGTTAAGATCACTGTTAAATTTAGTTTCTGCACACTCAAACAGAAGCTTCTTTTCAACTGCTCGAATGCCAGTTTTATTTCTGATAATAAATCAGAACGTAATTTCAAATCTAAAAAGAATTTGGACTTTTTTATTGTGTCAGAAAAAAATCTCAGGAATTGGATTTTTAAAATGGTGATATACATTATTTTACTACAAACTTTGTATTTTTTTTTAACTACACACTTATGTGGCAGAATATACTTTTCCAGGAGCAGAGAACATAATGGAGGATTGAAGAGAATTGTAACATTTATGTACACTCCAGTGCAAATGTTTACAATGAAGTAAAAGAAAGCAATGAATAAAGGCCTGTTACTGAGTTATTATTTGATGTTACAGAATTTTAGTGTTTTTGCCTTACCAGAATAAATTAACTTTTGAAAGCTACATAATTAATAAAGCAAGAGTCATTTTGTGTACTGGGGTGCCAATTTATTTTCTTTTGATCTTGTACAGCTTTGGAAGGGAAAGATAATTTTACAGTGTAAGCAAGCAGAAGACAATAACTGAAGCGTTCTCATAGCTCAGGTTTTTTCTGTACCCAGCATTCATTACAACCAGGAACAAAAGAGAAGGCTACAAATTACCAATAAGGGGAGTCTGCTAATGGAGAGAATGGAGAAATTTCATTAGCATTTAAGAGAAAAGATTTTTATGACCTAGTGCTGCTTTCCATTATGACTCACTTAAGTAAAAAAGAAAAAAAATCGAATAGTTAATTTACATGTGTAAGTGCTTGAGACTCAGTCATCCACTGATTGGTACTGCTCCATATAATGAATGACAAACATAAGCATGTATTATCAGTAATTAGTATTAGCACAAAAATAAGAGCCTAGTTTTTTATTAGAGGCTTTTAATAGCTTTGCTGGCTTGTAAAAACTGTCTAAACTGTAGTTCTTTTTTAAACCCAAGTGATACTGAATAGTATTTAAATACTATCTCTGTGTGATCATTCTGCTTACCAAAAAGTAGGGATTTTATTTTCATTACCATTGCTACCTACCACAGGTATTACAAAATTAGAAGCCTAATTACTTTTATGTAGAGTTATTTCAGCACTCAACAAAATAAAATAAAATCCAGATTTTATAAACCACCCATTAGGATACTGAAAAGCACCAAAATTGTAATTACAAATGGTATGACTCTCAGGATTTTATATTTAGGGCCATCTATTAAAGGAGTATACTATTTATGTGGATGCAAAAAAGATGGGTTGTTTTATTTATCATACGCACTAATGACAAAAGATTGGGAAGAAAAAATACTATTTATTAATCTGTTCACAAGCAGCTCATATTAAGACTGATCAAGCTTTCAGAAACATCTAGTTCATAAGGCATGCTCAGAGGCTTAACATAAGCATTCGTATAGTGGCAGCCATACAGAACTTGTAACATGAAACCTATTACATCTCCATTTTAAGATATCTGAATTCTTTCAGTAAGAACTTTAAGAAATAATGAGTAGAATAAGTCACTAGATTCTGAAATACTTTTCACTTAGTCACTTAGTCAATACGTTATTTTAATTCTGTATTTGTCTGTGGCTGTTCCTCACCCCAACTCCTACAGGCTCTAATATGATTTACTCCAGGGTGACTAAGATGTGACTTCAGCCATGTGTTAAATGGAACTCAGCAACTTCAGCAATGCTGTTGTCTTTAACAATTCTGCATTTGGTGGTCTCTGAAAAGTGGGCATCTTCATTGTTTTCTGCTGTCAGTGTCACAGAACCTCGTCTCCTCTATACTACAAAGAACAACATCGTCACCTTTTCTCCTATATGCAAAAGGTATCTAAAGGAAACCTTCAATATTTCAAGTAAATCTCAACAACTTCTCTGGTACTTCTGTCCATTTCCACAATGCATGATCATGGTTCTGTGGTAGGAGTAACGACTTGCTTCCACTGACATTGTCTGTTCTCAAGTAAAAGGATTTTTCAGCTGTCATTGTGGACAGCAATTTTGTCTGTATGTCACAGTTAATATTTGTTCTGCCTCTTTTGTTTTTCTTCCAGTTGTATTTGTAAATCTAGTGTTTGCTTAAATTTGAGTAAATCAAGCCTTGTGTTAAGACTGCCAATTAGCATCTCTGCTGGGGAAACCAACTAGGGAAATGAAGGATAACGTGGGTCTTTCTTTAAGAGTTTGTTCCTCCCATCTGAACAGCTCTCCCAGACATCACATCACTTTGTGACTATTTAGGTATTGGCCTTCACAACAACCTCTGGCAAGGAGTTCCAGAGGTTGACAGGGCGTTGCGTGAAAAAATACTTTCTTGTGTTTGTCTTAAACCTGCTACCTATTAATGTCATTTGTTGGCCCCTTGATCTTGTATTAATCAACTTGAAAAAAAATTCCAGAAGGATCTGAGCCTACCTTTGAAATGTGGAACAAAAACAGAAAACTCTTCAGTACTGGAGTAACCAAGCAGTGGGTACCCATACGGGAAAAGAGTTATTTATATCAACATATCCTATACTGGAATTAGCAAAGATGTTCCTTTATCGAGTGTTTAAAATGTACATCTCTGGCATATCATGTTTACTCAAAAACTTCACATTGCTTAGTAGTATAAATACAACATGGTGTGTAGTTGGATTATGTATCAGTTTCTGCAGAGCTCTGTTTTGCGATACTGTTCATACTCACTGGATGAAGCAAATATAAAATTACCAGCAAACAATTAGGTTAAGAATCAGAAATAGTACTTCATTCAAAGCCAAGAGTTAAAAAACATGGAAGAGGAAAAACATGAGTAAGCTTGGTACAAGTGGTTTCTTTTACAAAAGGAACACAGGGAAAAGCAAGCAAGCATGCAGTACAAAAACTAAAGCAAACTGTGAGGAAGCGTGATGTGGTGGTGTAATCCTTGTGCCTGACAAGGGGTGTAGAAATGCACTTGCAGTGTTTTCTAGGTGGAAGGAGGAGATTGGGAATAACGTATAATGAATAAGACAAATGAACTCTTCTCCCATCTGGCAACATGATTTGCAGCCTCTCTTCTGCCTGTGAAATAACTTTAAAACATAACCAGTCTTTTGCAAGAGAGGAAAAATGGCACATTTTCACTAAATTAAAATGTTACTTGTCTATTACAGAGTGTACTTGTATTTGCACAAGCCGACTAATCAGCCGTCAAGTATTTTTTGACACTTTTGCATCAATGGTGATACACATGCACACCTCCGCCTCCCCCCAAGTCTTTGTATTTACAATACCTACACACATAAAAAGATTGTGACATGAGATATCTTCCTTAAAACTTTACAAAAGCTAGGCCATTCATAGCTAAAGCTGAAACTTTTTCTTGACTTCACCTTGTTGTCCTTAAGTATTGCACGGGTTGCCATCTCCACTCATAAATGAGCAACCAAAGTTAGAAGCAAAACAAAATCCCAAACCAAAGGCTGAATACTCAGGCTTGCAGAAGCTAAAGGATTTTATATGACTGTGTAGGCAACAAAGCCACTATCTGAGAGTCTTCTGAGAAAGTTCGATCAGATTCAGGAAACAGTATTCTACCCAATTTGCCTTATTATTATACTTGAGTATTTTTTAAAAAACACCACCATAACTAACACACAAAGGCCTGTCATAAATTTGCAAAATTGACCACACCACATCTTTAAGTGTGTGTGTATGTGTGTGTGGGGGAGGCTATTGTCCGACTTGCTGGGGAAGAGGAAATAGCTCTTTACGGCCAGGAGGAGGAGCAAAGCTCAAAAGCTGCTGCAAAAGGGGGAGTGGGTCAGTGTGCTGACGCTGACTCATCTCCAGGGACCGGAAGGGCTGGGAAGTTCAAAAGGGGTAAATCTGGCGGGAGAAGACCCTTTTCCCCAGACCAGGTGGGGCAGCACCCACCCTGCCTCCCCTTGAGGGGGCAAAATACCAGGTTTGGTCAGGACCAGCTGTGGGCTTCGTGCTAGCTGCTTCTTTCTAGGGGGGCTGGGAAGGAATTTTTCCCTTACCACCAGATTGGAATAGGTGGAGTGGGGGTGTTTTCACCTTCCGCACAGTGGGTTTGGGAAGGGGTTTGTTATCGTGAGTAGGGAAAGAAGTTAGGCTATGATGTCACCACTCATTATGCAAGGATCGGGCAGATGTCCAGTGCAGGGCTCCACAGGGAAGGGATAGAGTGACCAAATAAATAGCTTGGTAAAGGACTTAAAAACAGAGATGACCTGTGCCTGCCCATGGGCAGCAGTGTTACTGAGCATGCTAAGTACAAGCCAAGCAGCAAATCTGGGGGTGCACATGACCTCACATGCTCCCCGATGTCCCCACTGCTTAAAAAGGAGCAGAATGGGGGAGGGGGACTCCTATGACTGGTACCGCAGGGAGCCAACCCCTTTACTTATAATAGCCCACCTTAACCCTCGTTCAAGGGGGGGATTGTAAGGTCCCAGCAAAGGGTTGGCTGTGGGACCAGGATGGAAAAAGAGAGGGGTTGGTGGAAGCCCCTCGGGTAGATATTGAATAAACATGGAATTACCTGCACTGTACATTTTTATCTGCTGAGTAGTCCCAGATATCTAATAATAAAGTTGCGACCTGATTAACACCATATCAATTGTCTCCTGTTCTTCTTTCAGTATAGTCAGACAACAAGTTTTGACACAAAAGCCAAAACAAAACACAGTAGCCTCATTCAAAGACATATCATAATATCCAGTTATTTGTAAAAATTCAACTACAGTATAAAACTAGCATACTAAGTAATATAATTAAAACAATATTTGACAAAATATCGAACAAAGGATATTCTGTGATACAGAATCCTTTATCACAGTTGTCTACCTACTCATTAATTTGCATAATTCAATAATGTGCATTTCATCCTCAGTCACTAGTACAAAAAACAAGTGCTACTCTAATAAGAGACCAGCACTGGCTTTTACCTATCAAAAGATACGCAAGAAATTTTCTTAAATAGAATTTTCTTTATTATTACAAACATTCCCATGAATGACACTGCACCACAGCAATGTCCTTGTGCATTCTGCAGACATACAGTTTACTAAAGAATTCATTATTGCTGCAGAATTATACTCTAGAACAGAAGATTTATTGTTTTTTTAAATTAACTTTATAGCATTCATGGCTGTAAAAAAGGATTCCAATGTGAACTGAGTATAAACTGATGGAAATAAACAATTGTTCTCAGCATCCACTGAAGGTAGGACAAGAAGCAATGGGATTAATCTGCAGGAAGGGAGATTTAGGTTAGATATTCGGAAACATTTTCTAACTGTAGTTATGCTCTGGAATAGGCTTCCAAGGGAGGTTGTTGAACCCGCATCACTGGAGGTTTTTTAGAACATGCTGGAGAAACACCTGCCAGGCATGATCTAGGTCTACTTGGTCCTGCCTCAGCATGGGGGGTTGGATTTGATGACCTCTTGAGGTCCCTTCCAGCCCTACATCACTACAACTTTATGATGCAGTGTTGTCTTCTCAGGTCAGCAGACTGCCTGAAACAATGACTGAAAGGTGTAAGCTTCTCCATTCACCTCAACAGGATATTAACTTTAAAACTTAACAATGACAATTTAAGTGTCAACATGGATAACTACTTAATTGCTGATCATTTTAGCAGTAATACCCAGGAAACATCTTTATCCCAGTCTGTCTCCTACAACTTCTCAGACGCCAACAAACCCCAATCATCTCAAGCTACCACAACTTCCAGCTTCCCTGTGGACAATTTCTATAATGCAGTTGGTGTGTTTTCAACATAAATTTGTAAGGCACAATGAAAATTAAGAATTCAGGGGTAGTACAGAATAAACTGAATTAATCAAGGTAAGTTAAACAAAGAATATTTTATCAATTTATTATTCATTTTCTTATTTAATTCAATAAAAGTTTAAATTTTAAAATTTATCTGACATTGCCACAGATTGATAGCCCAGTGCACAAAGTCTTCAGGACATTGCCACAGAATTTAGGTTTAAATTTGATATATTGTTCCCATGTCCTTGATCTCAATGAATCAAATTATTATTTTGTTATTTCAACTGCAGGAATGCTGTGTGGGAGAGGGGGATACCAAACATGGACCGGTGTACCACTGTGCTAGACACTGTACAAACTCATCATAAAAAGAAAGTATCTGCCCCAAAGTGCTCATAAGAATCTCATCAAATTCTATTTGTCCTCTACAGTGAGCTTTAATGATGTTGATTAGCAGAGATAACTGAAAGTGACTCAAAGTAGACTGAAGCAGTCAACTTCCACCTCTTTGAAAAGTATTTTCTTCACAGTCTTGGAAACAATTTCTATTTCTGAACTTTTATCTTCTACAGTTCACCATGGGCTAGTAACTTGAACGCTATACTGACAACAAAGGGCATTATATTTAAGGTAAAAGATCAAACAATACTTTAAATGTTTTATTGAAGCCAGGAAACTCTCTCTAATTAATTACTTACCTGAAATTCATCAAAACACAAGAGACAGGCCCCCTCACTTATTTCCTCAGCTATAGGGGCTATTGGATCATATGACTTGGCCATTAGTCCTGGCTTCCTTTTAGGCAAGCTCAGTTTAAGACGATGTATTCCTGAAGTGAATAAAATAGAAAAATAAACAGTGGAAGTGCTGCATTTAACTCTGTGGAACATATAAAGCAATAATACACACATATGTAGTTTAGATACAGAAATACAAAAACCACATGCATTATGATTTAAAAAGGCATGCAGGGTAATTTTTCAACCTTTTAAAGCAAATTGCTAAAGCCTCACAGATTCAGTAACCTGTATTTTCTTGTTTACAAATAAAGTAAAGTATTGCCCTGTAGTCCCCCACGGATGCCTGCTGTTATATACTTTTTTTAAATGGTGTGTTTATCCTATCATTGTTTCAAAAAACTTTGATATTGTAATTGGTACTCTATCATTTTGTCTTGCTTCAAATTTATTACCTTGATTCAGTTGCATTTCTTTGAGATTGTACCTACTCTCTTCTAGTCTATACTCTAATCAGAACCCTTAAAACATTTAGAAGTCAACTGCAAAACACTGCATGTTCCATTTCCCTAAAGTATGTTTACAACCTGTAGTGAAGCTCGGAAACAGTAGGGGAAAAATCAACTCAGAGAAACCAATCCCTGTGGTTTTAAAAAAAGGAAAACTGACTAAGATAGCAACGATTGTACAAAACAAGTATTACAGTAAAAAAGTGTACTATAAGGTGTTAGAGATTGTGCTCTATGTATGTATTTAAGATAAAGTGAACATTTGGAAAAGAAAGGCCCTGTGATGGGAGGTTAGCTTTATTAAAAGTAGACATAAAGGAACACACAGATAACCAGAGATATTGTCACTCAGGCCCGCCGACGGGGGGGCAAACGGGGCAATTGCCCAGGGGCCCGGGTCCTTTTAAATCATGTGGGCGGGCCACACAGCTCCGAGGCACACATGACTGCTCCGGGCCCCATGCTTTGTGCGATTGGCCAGCGTGTCAGTCCCGGAAGTGACGGGCGGTCCCTGAAGTGACGTATTTGTCACTTCTGCCCCGGGCCCCGCCCCCTCCTAGGGACAGCCCTGGGGCCCGGAATTGCTGTCGGTGGGCCTGTTGTCATTGCAGAATGAATTTATTAAATTTCCAGAATATGGATCTCCACTAAGTGCAAAAGTGGTCATGTATCACAGAAAGTTATTGCTGTCTTGGAGTAGGTGCAGCATAGGGTCCCAAAGATGGCAGATCTTAATATTTTAGATCTGAAGATGTTAAGTTTTGAGAAACAGTTTAGGGAAATTCTAATTGGAAAAGAGGAGACTAAATAAACATAACTGGGTTAAAAAAACGTTACTAACCTTGTAATTATTGTTCTTCGAGATGCGTTGCTCATGTCCATTCCATTATAGGTGTGTGTGCTTGCCACATGCACCGGTGCCAGAAGATTTTTCCTTAGTGATATCTATAGGGGACTGGCTCTGGTGCCCTCTGGAGCAGCACGCGTATGCACCAGTAAAAGGGGCGCTGCTGGCCCTCTCCCTCCCTCAGTTCATTCTTGCCAGAACTCCGACAGAGGGGAAGGAGGGTGGCTCATGAAATGGACATGAGCAACTCATCTTGAAGAACAACAGTTACACAAGGTTAGTAACCATTTTTTCTTATTCGAGTGCTTGCTCATGTCCGTTCCATTGTAGGTGACTCCCAAGCAATACCTCTGGAGGCAGGCAAGAGTTCATGGATGTGTCAATTACAACACAACTCAGCCAAATCTAGCGTCATCTCTGGCCTGCTGGGTAATGGCATAATGCGTGGTGAACGTGTGTACCGAAGACCACGTCACAGCCCTGCACCAGGGATAGGGACATGCACCAGGAAGGCAGCCAAAGACGCCTGAGCCCTAGTAGAGTGAGCCTTCACTTCAGTGGAGGCACAGCCTGCACCAACTCGTAACAAGTGTGGATGCAGTTTGAAATCCTCTGAGAGGACACCGGAAGGCCCTTCATCCTGTTACCAATTGCAGTAAAGAGCTGAGTCGATCTGCAAAAGGGTTTGGTGCACTCCAAGAAGAAAACGAGGGCACGCCTGACATCTAGAGTGTGCGGGCGTCTCTCCTCGTTGGTTGCGTGTCTTTGGATAGAACACTGGGAGGAAGATATCCCGGTTGACATGGAAGTGCAACACCATCTTCGGCAGGAAGGCTGGATGGGGCTGCAGCTGACCCTTGTCCTTGTAGAACACCATATACAGGGGTGCCGAAGTGAGAGCTTTAATCTCGGAGACTCGCCTTGCCGAAGTAGTGGCTACAAGGAATGCGATCTTCCATGACAGGTGCAAGAGACAGCAAGAGATAAGGTGGTGTTAGTACCGTTATACAAGGTACTGGTGAGACCTCATCTGGAATACTGTGTGCAGTTCTGGTCTCCCATATTTAAGAAGGGTGAATTCAAACTGGAACAGATATAGAGAAGGGCTACTAGGATGATCCGAGGAATGGAAAACCTGTTTTATGAAAGGAGACTCAAAGCCTTTAGCCTAACCAAAAGAAGGCTGAGGGGAGATATGATTGCTCTCTATAAATATATCAGAGGGATAAATACCAGGGAGGGAGAGGAATTATTTAAGCTCAGTACCAGTGTGGACACAAGAACAAATGGATATAAACTGACCATCAGGAAGTTTAGACTTGAAATTAGACAATGGTTTCTAATCATCAGAGGAGTGAAGTTCTGGAACAGCCTTCCAAGGGGAGCAGTGGGGGCAAAAGACATATCTGGTTTCAAGACTAAGCTTGATAAATTTATGGAGGGGATGGTATGATGGGATAGCCTAATTTTGGCAATTAATTGATCTTTGACTATTAGCGGTAAACATGCCCAATGGCCTGTGATGGGATGTTAGATGGGGTGGGATCTGAGTTACTACAGAGAATTCTTTCCTGGGTATCTGGCTGGTGAGTCTTGCCCACATGCTCAGGGTTTAGCTGATGGCCATATTTGGGGTCAGGAAGGAATTTTCCTGCAGGGCAGATTGGCAGAGGCCCTGGGGGGTTTTCGCCTTCCTCTGCAGCATGGGGCACGGGTCACTTGCTGGAAGATTCTCTGCACCTTGAAATCTTTAAACCATGATTTGAGGACTTCAATGGCTCAGACATAGGTTAGGGCAGGGATCGGCAACCTTTCAGAAGTGGTGTGCCGAGTCTTCATTGATTCACTCTGATTTAAGATTTCACGTGCCAGTAATACATTTTAACGTTTTTAAAAGGTCTCTTTCTATAAGTCTATAATATATAACTAAACTATTGTTGTATGTAAAGTAAATAAGGTTTTTTAAATGTTTAAGAAGCTTCATTTAAAATTAAATTAAAATGCAGAGTCCCCCAAACCAATGGCCAGGACCCGGGCAGTGTGAGTGCCACTGAAAATCAGCTCGCGTGCCGCCTTCGGCACGCGTGCCATAGGTTGCCTACCCCTGGGTTAGGGGTTTGTTGCGGGAGAGGGTGGGTGAGATTCTGTGGCCTGCATTGTGCAGGAGGTCAGACTAGACGATCATATTGTCCCTTGTCACCTTAAAGTCTATGATTCTATGATTCTAAAAGGTTAGAGACTTGAAAGGAGGACGGTTAAGCCTGGAAAGGCTTAGATTGAAATCCCATTGGGGAACCAGATCCCATACCGGGGGAAACAGCCTCTAGAGGCCCTTGAGGAATCTGACCATCATCTTATGTGAGAATACTGAGAATATGTGCAGATGAAAGGCTGATATGGCCGCCAAGTGCATCTTGATGGATGAAACTGCAACTGTAACCTTTTTCGTATTTGTTCCTACTTATATCCATCTCTATTCTTTTACTGTAATCACTCATTTCTAAATAAATATTATTTTGTTTTCAAAGATTTACTGCTTACCTGTCTATTCTTGATCGGAGGGCTGTATCCGTGTCCTTTCAAGGGAAAGCAAGCTAGCTGCAGCTTTCCCTGGCAATTCCTTTAGGGCGGGCTACAACCTTGGTTACCAGTTTAAATAGTTAATAAAAAAAAGGTTTTAAATTAAAGGCATCATTTTAGAGCACATTATTGGTTTAATATAATTTAACTCAAATCTTTCAGCAACAACGACCAGGGTCCCCCTTGTCTGTTGATGTAGAACACTGAGGCCATGTTGTCTGTCAGTACCTGCACCACTTGACCAGATAGATGGGGAAGGAACACCTTGCACGCCAGGCGAATGGCCCTGCGCTCTCTGATGTTTACGTGAAGTGACAGCTCCTCCCATGACCATAGTCCTTGAGTTTTGAGGGAACTGAGGTACTCTCCCCAGCTGAGGTCGGACGCATCCGACACCAGCACACTGTGGGCCGTGGAGCCACAAACAGAACCCCTTCCATCGCTGGATTTGGATTGCACCACCATTAGAGGGAGGTGAGTACCTGAGGTGGTGTCGTGAGGAGCCTAGCCAAGCAATGTCTGGCTGGGGAATAAACCGACAACAACCACATTTGAAGAGGCCTCAGCTGCAGTCTTGCGTGCCAGACTATGTAGATGCACGCAGCCATGTGCCCTAGGAGTCTGAGACAGACCTGAGATGTGGTGAGCGGGTGTGCAGTGACTTGGGCAATCAGATCTGACATTGCTCTGAACCTGGCTTGTGGTAAGAATGCTCTGGCTTGGGTAGAGTCGAGGACTGCTCCAGTGAACTCTATCCTCTGAACAGGGACCAATGTTGATTTTTGTTCATTTATCAACAGGCCCAGGGCATGACAAGTGGCTCATAGCACTTCAATACTGCGCTGCATCTGCCCTTTGGAGGGGCCCTTAATGAGCCAGTCATCCAGATAGGGATAGTTTTGGAACCCCCGACACCTAAGGTAAGCTGCAACTACCGCCATGCACTTTGTAAACACTCTTGACGCTGTCATTAGGCTGAACAGGAGTGCTGTGAACTGGTAATGTGTCTGACCGACAACAAATCGTAAAAATCTCTTGTGTCCAGGAAATATTGAGATGCGAAAGAAAGCATCTTTTAGGTTGAGGGTGGTATACCAGTCTCCAGTGAGGGGATAATGGAGGCCAGGGAGACCAGGTCTCGCAAGTCCAGGATGGGGCATAGGCCCCCTGTGGCCTTTGGAATGAGAAAATACCGGGAGTAAAAATCTTTCCCTCTTCATTCTGTGGGAACTTCCTCCAGGCCCCCAGCCGCAGGAGGGCTTGCGCCTCCTGGGCGAGCAATTGCTTGTAAGAAGGGTCCCTAAAGAGGGACAGAGAAGGGAGGGTGGGAAGGGGGGGATAGAACAAAATTGGAGGGTATACTCTGCTACCACTGTATTGAGTCCGTAGTTATAGCAGTCCAAGCGGTGAGGAAAGGAGAGAGCTCTCCCAGCACTATAAAAAATCCCACCTCCACAAGGGGAATAGCTCCCAGCACTTGTGCACTGACTACAGTGGCACTTTACAGCACTGAAACTTGCAGCGCTCAAGGGGGTGTTTTTTACACCCCTAAACAAAAAAGGTGCAGTGCTGTAAAGTGCCAGTGTAGACAAGCCCTAAGATGTGGATCACTGGGCTTGAAGCCCTGGGGAGCAGGGCATGCCCTGTCCCTAGGCTAAGTCCCTGGGGGGACTATGAATAACTAAGTACACTAACACTATTAGGAATTGATAACTATCTACAACTGTTTACACAATAAAAGTTCAAAGAACCAGTGAAAGAGAAACCACTTGCTAGAGCAAGGGGAGCTTCCCAGCACTGTCACTGGCAGTAAGAAGGAACTGAGGGAGGAAGGGGGCCAGCAGTGCCCCGTATACTGGTGCATACGCGCACCAGTCCAGAAGACTCCAGAGCTGGTCCCCTACGGATACCACTGAGGAAAAAACTTCCGTCACTGGTGCATGTGGCAAGCACACACACCTACAATGGAATGGACATAAGCAATCACTCGAAGAAGAATTAGATACGTTAGTCATTGATGGACCTATCTGCCACTATTAGCCAAGATGGTCAGGGACACAACCCCATGCTTTGGGTGTCCCTAAACCTCATTGAGAATAACTGATTCCTGTCCTCTCCTAACATTCCTTTTCATATGTGTAAAGTTATGTTTCCTGGAGATGGAAGATGTCCCAACCCCTAACCCTTCCTCATAGATCTTATTTTCCAAACTTAATTTTGTTTGCTGTCTTTCTTAAATTGTTGTACCCTCAACTGAACACAGTATGCCAAATGAGTATCAAATAATTTAACTGCTGATTTTACGCAAACTATATTTTTGGGACACCATCACATTATTTGTGTCATTCAATGTAAACTTCACTATTAGCATCTATCTGCTTCCAAATGGAGTGTAAGTTAATTGATAAATTATGGGTGTTTAGTTAAGGGGTAAATTAATCCTGAATATACATCTCATTTCACATACACCTCACACTACATTATCTTTTGAGTGGCTATTCCTATAGTTATTAATAGCTATACTGGAATAACAGAAGATTCTAACAATGCTTTAATAAATGTATTTTTGATTACTTATGTAAAAGAAAGTTAAATTGGCTCATATGCTTGGAAGAATAAATCAGAGTTGCTTTATAGATTATACACTCAATGCGACTCATTTAAATGTCAGAATATTTGCACTTACTTTTGTGTACATCTAGCATGAAACCATGAAAATGGACTCTCTTTTTCCTCTCTACTTCTATATAAGAATAAAACATGTCCATCACCATTGTCTTTCCTGTGCCTTCAAATAAAAAACAAATAGACCCAACAGGTAGTTAATTTAAAAACAGTATGTACTGATTACAGTAATGATTGTTCATTAGCTTTGAACTAATGAAACTACACTCTTCTGCTGAACAGTAAAAGGCTTGTTTGTTTGGGAAGAGAGATTATATTTTATGTTAAAAGAACTAGGAGGAAAGCTGTATTTCACTTTATAAAGGACAAATTCTGAAAAAATAAAGTATGACATTTTGAGCCAACAAGTGGCCCTATTGTCTCCATCTGAAATATTCCAAATATTATCAAGACGTTTTCATGGTATATTGACATGACTAGAATAAAATCTTCATCTCTTTGCCTCCCCCTCCTCTTACTTAACCAATATTTAACAATATGGGTAATTTAGGAAATAACATGTCACAAACAGAAATACATTAATACAGATAGAAATCTGAGAGCAATTCGATCTATACTTAATACCATTTCATATTCTAAAAGAAACAAGTCTGAAAAGTTCATTAAAATAAGTAACTTGTTATACAAAATAAAATAAAAAACCTTTGACATAAAAGGATACATTAGAACTTGAGTAAGCCCTCTGTAGAAGGGCATGCCTGTCCTGTAGCATCCTCTGCTGGCTGAGTGTAGCCCTGCCTCAGTTTCCCCCACTCTCAGCATCCCTTAAGAATTCCACACAGACCAAAAGGTATAAGACAAAATACCTATCCTGGGGTTCTACTTTATTAAGTCCAAATAAACTTGAAATAAAGTCTCTTTTTCCCAGACTCAAAATAAAGTCTCCCCAAGCTTTTTTCTCTTACCTCAGGTTCAGGGGGTGGCAAAGCCATCCTTTCTTGGGGGTTATGTTTCTGGACTTTCAACAGCTACCCCAGCAACTTTCTTCAGGAACCCTTCTAGCACCTTTCCCCTGCCTTTCCGGGCTGAGAACGATCCATGGGTAGCAGTCCTTCCCTTGCTGCTATCTTTCCCTTTGTAAGGCCCAGATTCCTTCCCGTAAACCCAGCTGGACAGCAGGCAATCAGTCACAGGTGCACTGGACCCTGCTGCCTCTTAAATAGAAACTCTGTGAAACCCTCATTTAGACAAAACTTCCAATTAAATCTTTACTGAAACTTACCAACATCTCCATAGATGTAAAGACCTTTCGGAGGTTTGCTTTTTGCAAAGAGCTGCAAAAAAAGAGAAGGATCATTTTACTTAAACACAGTGTGTAATTAATGCAAGCCTATTGCTGAGGGAATGAAATCAGGTGGCTGGATTTAATTAATTAAGTAGGGCTACCATAAAAAAATATTATAAATAAAACAGTTAGTAACCTTTCCATAACTACTGTTCAAGATGTGTTGCACACGTCCATTCCACTGTAGGTATTTGTGTGCTCCAATGCATAGTTGTTGGAGAGTTTTTAACTTTAGTGGTAACTATCATAGCAGCCAAACCACCCTCTGCTGTTTGCACACACCATGCAGGCATAAAGGGCTGAGCTGCCATTGCCCTCCCTCCCCTGCAGTTCCTTCCTACTGGAACCACTCCAATAGAGAGGGAAAGGAGGGTAGGTTGTGGAATGGACATGTGCCACAGATCTCAAAGAGTTAAGCAAAAGTTAGTAACTGTTTCTTCTTCTTCAAGTGATTGCACATGTCCAGTCCATTGTAGGTGACTCACAGGCAGTCCCATCTGGAGGTGAATTCGGAGTCTATTTGAACAGGGACTGGAGGACCAGTTGTCCAAATTTAGCATCACCTCTAGATTGCTTAGCAGTTTTGTATCAGGCTGGAAAAAAGGGAGCGATTATCCACAGGAGGGGGAAATGCCAATATAGCTGCTAGGTGTACCTTGATCGAGCTAATTGCCAATCCTTGATGATTCAAACACAAAAGATATTCTTGCTTTTATTCAGAATGTACTGGACTAGGGGAGACCCCTTTTAGCCTAGCCCAGGTGGAAAACTTACTTTATTTCTCAAGGTAAGTCAACTCATTGATAGGGTTACCATATCTAGCAAATAAAAAAAGAGGACCCTCCACAGGCCCTGGCCCCGCCCATTTCCCCACCCCAGCCCCGCCCCAACGCCGCCCCTTCCCCGCCCCCTCCTCCCTCCCACTCCCAGCCACGCGGAAAGGGCTGCCCAGCGCTTCCCCAGCGCAGCTGGAGCCCGGGAGGGGAAGTGCCCAGCCGGGGGCGCAGGGTCTGGAGGCTGCCCGGCAAACCGTGAAGCCGGTAGCGCTTGGGCTTCGGGCAGCCCCCTTGCCTCCAGACCCTGCGCCCCCAGCCAGGCACTTCCCCTCCTGGGGCTCCGGGCGG